AGGAACTGAAGCGCCAAACCTCAAGTGTGTAACGTGCTTCCTTGTTTTGGGGTTAGGTTATATCATTGTGTTTTTCCCCTAACTTTCCATGTGCACACACACTCACACACCCCCATCACTAAAGGATGGAAACAAAATCCCTATGAACTGCCGGTTCCAACAACTTAAGTAAAGGGAATCTGCTAAGGCAAAAGATCTGATTTTTTTTTTTTTTTTTTTTTTTTTTTTTTTTTCCTGAGACCGAGTCTCGCTCTATCACCCAGGCTGGAGTGCTGTGACACGATCTTGGCTGACTGTAACCTCTGCCTCCCGGGTTCAGGCAATTCTCTGCCTCAGCCTCTCTAGTAGCTGAGATTACAGGCACCCGCCACCACGCCCAGCTAATTTTTGTATTTTTAGTTGAGACGGGGTTTCACCGTCTTGGCCAGGTTGGTCTTGAACTCCTGACCTTGTGATCCACTCGCCTCAGCCTCCCAAAGTGCTGGGATTACAGGCATCAGCCACCATGCCCAGCCTAGATCTGAGATTTTGAAGACCTCAAAACATTTTCTATTGCATATAACTTTCTCTCCTCCCAGAAACAAACTAAAAACTCAGTCCAAATTAATGCTTTTTTAAAAATTGCCTCTTTGAAACAACTGTAATAAATAACTCTAATCTCTGTCTCTCAAACACACACACACACACACACACACAAGTATTGTTTTTTAAAATGAGAGCTCCTCCCCCCAGCTGAGTTGAGGTATGAATGGATTTGAAGTTTCAAATGTAGTTTCCCACGTGTTCTTTAAGTTTGGAAAACAAGATTCCAAATGGGAAAACAAGATTCCAAGTGATACAAATGTAAATGCTGCATTCTTTATTTCTTCTTTCTTGAAAATAAAATCATGTATTTGTGCTGTGCCAAAGCATTACATCTGGAACACATAAGTACATGCTGGGGTATAAACTAAGCTTGTTTTTTTCTTTTGAGACAGTCTTGCTCTGTCGCCAAGCTGGAGTGCATTAGTGTGAGCACGGCTCATTGCAGCCTCAAACGACTGGGCTCAAGCTATCCTCCCACCTTAGACTCCCAAGTATGTGGGACTACAGACGTGTGCCGCAACACCCAACTAATTTTTAAATTTTTTTATAGAAATAGAGTCTCGCTTTGGGGCCCAGGCTGGTCTCAAACTCCTGGCCTGAGGCAATGCTCCCACTTCAACCTCCCAATGTTCTGGGATTACAGGCATGAGCCACTGCGTCTAGCCTAAACTAAACTTTTAATATGTGATATTACTCCCTTTTTATTTTTATTCCATTCTTCAATCTATGATGGGAGTGAATTGGTGGGAAGGGGCCAAGATTGTTTTAGTAGCAGAACTCTTTCCTCAAATGAAATCATACCCCTTTGCCCAACAGATAAAACAATATAAAATGGAGCCTGGCTTCAATTCTCCTACCACCACCTGGTGCCTCCAGGGCTGTGGGGTCTCCCAGTTCTCACCACACTTCTCAAGGCATGAAGCAAGGGGTCATGGGAGTATCTTAGAGATCTCCATCCCATCCTTAGCATGAAGGAAAGCCAGATCTGTCATATCTGTGACCAGGTGCCAGATGCACTCCCATTTCACAAATTCAGGAGTTAAGTGTCTTATCCAAACCTTAAATTAGACATTATAGTATACTGTGTTACTTTCTTCAAAAAGGAAAAGAGACATTATGTCCCTGGAGTTTTGTCAGTGCAGTTTGAGGTCTGTGCAATTTGCCTACTCAGCAGACTCAATGACTAGGGAAGCTGAGTGAGCAGTGCCACCAGCAAAAAGGAATTCAGGTTCCACACTTAATATTGTTAAGATGGCAAAACTCCCCAAGTGATCTACAGAGTCAATGCAACCCCTATCAAAATCTCAGGTCCCTTTTTGCAGAAACTAACAAGCTGATCCTAAAATTCATAGGGAGATCCAGAATGGCCAAAATAATCTAGAAAAAGCAGGACAGGCTGGGCACAGTGGCTCACACCTACAATCCCAGCACTTTGGCAGGCCAAGGTGGGAGGATTACTTGAGCCCAGGAGTTTGAGACCAGCCTGGGTAACATAGCCAGACCCAGTCTCTACAAAAAATAAATAAATAAAAATTAAGAATTAGCTGGGTGTGGTTGCACACATCTGTAGTCTCAGCTACTTGGGAGGTTGAGGTGGGAGGATTGCTTGAGCCCAGGAGGTCAAGGCCACAGTGAGCAGTGATTGTACCACTGCACTTCAGCCTGGGTGACAGAGCAAGACTCTGTCTCACAAAAAAAGAAAAAAAGAAAAAAGAAAAAGAAGGACAAAGTTGGAGGACTCATAATTCCTGATTTCAAAACTTACTACAAAGCTATAGTAGCCAAGACAGTATAGACAGCAATACTGGCATAAGGATAGACATATAGATGAATGGACTATAATTGAGAATGCAGAAATAAATGCTTACATTTATAATAAACTGATTTTTGACAAGAGTATCAAAACAATTTAATGGGGGCCGGGCGCGGTGGCTCACGCCTGTAATCCCAGCACTTCGGGAGGCCGAGGTGGGCGGATCACAAGGTCAGGAGATCGAGACCACGGTGAAACCCCGTCTCTACTAAAAATACAAAAAATTAGCCGGGCGCGGTGGCGGGCGCCTGTAGTCCCAGCTACTCAGGAGGCTGAGGCAGGAGAATGGCGTAAACCCAGGAGGCGGAGCTTGCAGTGAGCCGAGATCGCGCCACTGCACTCCAGCCTGGGCGACAGAGCGAGACTCCATCTCAAAAAAAAAAAAAAACAAAAAAAACAATTTAATGGGGAAGAAGAGTCTTTTCAACACATGGTTCTGGGACAACAGGATTTCCATATGCAAAAAATGAAGCTAGGCCCCTACCTCACACCATATACAAACATCAATTCAAAACCGATCAAAGTTCTAAATCTAAGAGCTAAAACTATAAAACTCTTATAAGAATATATAGGCATATGGCCAGTTGCAGTGGCTCATGCTTGTAATCCCAGCACTTTGGGAGGTCAAGGCAGGCAGATCACGAGGTCAAGCATTTGAGACCAACCTGACCAACATGGTGAAACCCTGCCTCTACTAAAAATACAAAAATCTGCCGGGTGTGATGGTACACACCTGTAGTCCCAGCGACTCAAGAGGCTGAGGCAGGAGAATCATTTGAAACTGGAAGGTGGAGGTTGCAGTGAGCTGAGATCATGCCACTGTACTCCAGCCTGGGTGAAAGAGCAAAACTCCATCTCAAAAAAAAAAAAAAAAAAAAAAAAAAAAAGAATATATAGGCATAAGTCTTCATGACCTTGCATTAGGCAAAGGTTTCTTAGGTATGATACCAAAAGCATAGGCAACCCAAGAAAAATAGATAAATTGAACTTCACCAAAATTAAAACCTGGCACTTCAAAGAACACCATCAAGAAAGTGAAAAAATAACCCACAGAATGGGCAAAAAGTATTTTAAAATCATAGCTGATAAGGAACCGAATTCAGAATACACAAAGAACACTTACAACTCAATAATAAAGAGAAATATAATCCAATTTTAAAATGGATAAAAGACCAAATATACATTTCTCCAAAGAAGATACACAAATGGCCAATAAGCACATGAAAGAATGCACAACATCATTAGCCATCAGGGAAATGCAAATCAAAGTCACAATGAGATGCCACTTCATACCCACTTAGGATGGCAATAATCAAAAGATGGATAATAACAAGTGTTGATGAGGATGTGGAGAAACTGGAAACCTCATGCACTGCTGATGGGATTGTAAAACGGTGCAGCCACTTTGGAAACAGTTTGGCAGTTCCTCAAAATGTTACAGTTACCATATACCCAGCAATTCCACTGCTAGATATATATTCAAGAAAAATAAAACCATATGTCCATAGAAGTTTGTATATTCTTCCCTAGGGAAGGGAAGAGCCAGGGCAGGTAAAAGAGAAGAGAAATGCAAATGGACAAAGAAAACACTCTTGGACATAATTAAATGGGAAAACATTAGTTGTTAGCACTGTCCGGGCCAAATAAAGAATTAAAAAAAAAAAAAAAATAGGCCAGGTACAGTGGCTCATGTCTCTAATCCCAGCACTTCAGGAGGCCAAGGCGGGAGAATTGCTTGAGCTCAGGGGTTCAAGACCAGCCTGGGCAACATGGCAAAACCCTGTCTCTACTAAAAATACAAAAAATTCGCCAGGTGTGATGGCACATGCCTGTAGTCCCAGCTACTAGGGAGGCTGAGGCACGAGAATCACTTGAACCCGGGAGGCAGAGGATGCAGTGAGCTGAGATGCCACCCTGGGCAACAGAGCAAAACTCTGTCTTAAAAATAATAGTAATAATAAAAATAAATAAAAACAGGCCAGGCATGGTGGCTCACTCCTGTAATCCCAGCACTTTGGGAGGCCAAAGTGGGTGGACCATGAGGTCAGGAGTTCAAGACCAGCCTGGCCAAGATGGTGAAACCCCATCTCTACTAAAAAGTACAAGAATTAGCCAGGCACAGTGACAGGTGCCTATAATCCCAGCTACTCAGGAGGCTGAAGCAGAAGAATCACTTGAACCTGGGTAGCAGAGGTTGCAGTGAGCCAAGGTCATGCCAGTGCACTCCAGCCAGGGTGACAGAGTGAGACTCCGTCTCTAAATAAATAAATAAATAAATAAGTAAATAAATACAAAGAAACAAAATCCATTGGTAAGTAATACATACAAAATGAGCCCATTGTGTTGGTTTTCAAAGATACTCACAGGCACCCATGCTTGTGTGAGTAAACAAAAGCAAGAGAAATCTATGCCCAGTTGATCACAAATATACTCTCTGGAAGCAAGCCTGGGATGGGGAAGGCAGAATTTGATTTTTTACTTCTTTTTTTAATCTCAGCATATTATACCTATAATTACTTTTAACTCTACAACTTCTGATATGTTTACATTTGTGTTCAATAAGAATATAATCAGGATTTCTTATTTATGTTTCTAGCCAAAAGGGAAGGAAAGAGAGAGAAAGCCACTGGAGTTGGGTAGCGTGGGAAGCTGTGAAAGTGGACAAGCATAAAGAGCTTCCAAGGAGTAGAAACAGCAGGAGCAAAGATGTGAACATGGGAAAACCTCCACAGTATCTGGGTGACTGTGGAGTTTGGCTCTGTTTGAGCACCCGGGGATGACTGCTGGTGGTGTGTGGCTGAAGGTGAATGGGAACAGTGCATTCAGCAACCAGGCTGCAAGAGTGCTGCATGCCCCTTAGGAATTGGCTCCGGCCAAGTGCCCTGGCCTCCTTTCCTGGAGCATTTTGGTTTTGACTTGGGCCCCATGTCCAGTTCTGCCCTGACTTGTGGGTCCACCTTGGAAAAGTCAGGAGACACCTGGGAAATGAAGGCACTAGACTCTTCCAGACTCGTTCCATGGCCACCCAGAGGCCTTGGGTCATCTACCCAACATCCCAAAAAACCCAACTGTGCACTGGCCTCATGCCAGGGGCCAGATGTTCTGCCAGGAGCAGCCTCTGCCCTCCCAGAGCTGACATTTCAGGGAGATGTGCGCCAAAGCGAGACCTGTCAGAGATATTTACAAACAGCCATCTCTCTTGACATCGCTGCACCCCAAATAAATCTTCTGGGAAGACCCTCTTCACCTCCAGCTCTCCTGATACAGCAAGACAGTTGTGAACAAGTTATTTATAACTCTATACCTCAATTTCCTGGTATGGAAGATGGGGATAATGAGAGGACCTGTGCCACAGGATGGTTGTGGAGACTGTATGAGGATATAGGTGCTGAGCCCAGTGGCACAGGGTACAGCCGTTCAAACCAACTGACATTTATTGAGGGCTGCTTTGTCAGGTCCCTCTCTACAGTATACTCCAACACACACAAACACACACAGCTGTAATCAGTGAGAATCCTGCAACATCTGAGAGTCTGGCAGCTTTTGTCTGGGCCTTTGCACATGCTATGCCCTCCCTTCCATCCCCCACCGGGGGTGACTCATAGCCATCCCTTTCTGCATCTCGTCAGATATCACTTTTTCCAAGAAGCCTCCCTGTCGCACCATTTCCCCAATATCACAGATGAAGGAAAAAAGACTCAGAAAGGTTAAGTTACTGGCACAAGGTCACACAATCCAGATCTCATACTCTTAGCCCCCTAGGAACCTTACACTGTATTAAATGACATCAATTGATCAATTAATGGAAAGAGTGGGACGCATGCATCTCCTGATCCCCGATCCTATACATTTTCATCTCTTTGTTGTTTCTATCAAAGCCTGCTAAGTAACTACTTTTCCTCTAGGTGAGTGCCACTAGGTGATGAGGTGAGGTAATCAAATGACACAAAAGAGGAAGGAGTCCACCACCAGGGTAGGTGCAGTGGAGCAAGTCTTACAATGTGCAGGATTATAACTCCAGCAATGACCCCTAGGCTCATGCTCATTCCCCAGGTGGCAGTTTCAGAACACATTGCTCAGGTCTCACCCTGTAAAGGTAGGTACCAACCTTCTAGTAAGCCATCAGAACACACAATGCCAAGATCTTACTCCAGCCACCTGCCAGGACCTGGGGGGCAGGAGGAGAGTTCTCCCTACATTGTCTCATTTTCCCTCCCCTTCTGCAGTGAGATAGACCATGTCCAGTGCTCAAGAGTTGACTGGCCACACTGGGGAGTTTGACCACAACCTTGGGCTCCATATGCATGGAATGAGGTTGCCTGCAATTGTCCATGAGGCTGCTCCCTCATTTGTCTGGGTTTATGCTCCAGTGCTATCTCCTCAGAGACCTTCTCTGACCAAAGCCAGCTCTGCCTCCATCCCATCACTCTGGATCTCCTTCCCCAGCTTCATCTCCATTACACTGGCCACTCTCCCTCACATCTTATTGCTGATCTAGTTGTCTGCTGTCCATCTCCACCACTGGGATGTAAACTCCACAAGGGAGGAATGCTGTCAGTTTCCTTGACTGCTGTGTGGTCAGTACCAGGGCAATGCCTGGCACAGAGTAGCCCTCTCTCCCTAAATGTTTTTGAATAAATGAAAAAAATGAGCTAAGTGGCTAAGATAGGTGTAAATATGACCTCAATTGGGAACAGTCTTGCCAGTCCTCTTTTTCTTTTTTTAAGAAAAAAAAATGGGCCCAGCACAGTGACTCATGCCTGTAATCCCAGCACTTTGGGAGGCCAAGGCAGGTGATCACTTGAGCCCAGGTGTTCGAGACCAACCTGGGCAACATGGTGAAATCCCATCTCTACAAAAACTACAAAAATTAGCTAGGCGTGGTGGTGCATGCCCATAGTCCCAGTTACTCGGGAGGCTGAGGTGGAAGGATCGCTTGAGCCTGAGAGGCAGATGTTGCAGTGAGTCAAGATCACGCCACTGCATGCCAGCCTGGGCTCTTAAGAAAGCAAGACCCTATCTCTAAAAAAGAAAAAAGAAAAAGAAATGTGTACCCATTTTCATAACTGAATAAACAATTTTCATCAAAGTAAAAAAGAAAGCAAAGCTTGTCACCAAACCTCTTCACAGCAGACCTCACTCCACCCATTATGCTAGTAATATCCCATGAAGAAACTGACTCAATAAATTAGAATTATATATTAAAAATCTCATTTTAACTTGAGTTTCAACTTGTGAAAGTGAAGTGATATGAATTAAAGAATATTTGTACAAACCATTAAGAAAATGGGTCCAAGGATTAATTTTCTTTTAAATATAGCTAGGGTCACATTAATAAATTGATTAAGGAATGATACAGAAAAATCCAGGAAAAGAACAAAAGAGAGAGAAAGCCCCTACCCACCCCTACCTCCAACCCAGTGCAGTTCAGGAGCCTGAACAATACAGAACTTGGCCTTGAAGGGTTACTAAACTATGGCAATGGCCTTTCTGCTTCATGCTTCTTTGCCTCAGACCCCCTCTGGTGACACATGACTGGGCAGCATACTAAGTTCTGGTCAGGAGCTCAGGGACCTTAGTTATGGCAGAGAACTTTAGAGATGGATATTGATGGATGCAGGATGGTCAGGACACGAAGCAGACCAGAAGGACTAGAACGGTAGCATGCAGGAGGCCACAGCTCGTCCTCATCACAGTGGTACAGGGACTGCATCTGGTTCTCTGTTCCCTCTCCTTCAATAGTTCTCTGTTCCCTCTCCTCCAATGGAACAGGCTATTGCAGGAGGCGACAAGTTCCCTGTGCCTAGAGGATTCAAGCTTAGGTTAAACAGTAACTAGGAAGAGATGTTGCAGAGGTGATTTAATCTGGAGGTGAAAGTATGCCACATTCATGGTCACTTTCAACCCTGAGCTCCCGACCAGCAACTAGTTCCTTTGCATTTCACTACTCTCCAAACTCGCCTCACTTCAGTCAATGGGTGTTCATTCACTCAGGACAGTTATTGTGCACCAGCTATATGCCATGGGCCAGGAGTCAGTAGTGAACAGGACAACACACCTCTGCCCTCTTGAATCCTATGTTCTCCTGGGTGGATGCACACAATAAACCCATAAATCAATGCATGAATAAGATCATCCCAGGCAAGCTCTATGAATAAAATACAAGAAAGAATGTGATAGAAACTAATGGGGGAGGGGCTGCTTTGGATAGAGTAGTCAGAAGAACCATCTGTACAGGGGAGACATCTGGGCAAAAGGGCAAGAAAGAGCCCAGCATGGAAGAAGTGATGGAAAAGCATGCTAGGTTGAGGGAACAGCAAGTGCAAAGGCCCTCAGAAGTCTTCTGAAAACTTGAACTCAAACGTTCATGAATTGCATCCCAGCCTAAAGGTCTCACCACAGGCCAACAGTGCCTAATCTCACAGCCTGCGTCTCTTTCCCCTAATTGACCAAGTCAAGGCTGACCTGTATTGCCTACTGAAAAGTGCGTTCTGGGAGGGTGAACAAGGGCAGCCCCCAATTTGCAGGGAATTGAGATGTAACGGGGGCAAGAACCTTCACTTTCCTACCAGAAGTTCAGAGTCCACTTACAGGCCTCATGGAGAATACAATGTAAGGGGAAACTTCTGGAAAAATAACTGTGCCTCATGTATATTTCAGGACATTCCCTGGGGCTCCAGGTACAGAGCTCTTATCTGTGGAGTTCAGAAGACAGAAACTAAATTTCCAAGAAGATACTAAATGGGTGCAGCCCAGGAGAACTCTACAGATGGAGGGAGCAATCTGCTAGAGATGAATGAATGCGGGAGAAGAAGACAAGATCAGGTCCCCGGACCCTGAAATAGACTCCCGCACTCACAGAGACTAGAAAATATCAGCCTGTCAGGGGACCCAAGGCCTAAAAGAATCAAGTGAAATCTACCCACCCTCCCCCCGCCAACAAGAGGCAAACATCCAATCGCACCCCAGAGCTTCCAAAGAAGATCCAAGACCCCACTTCCCAACAGAGTCCTTGACAAAGTTCATCTCTAATTCCACATTCTGAGATATACTTTGCACAAGGCTGGTTAGCCACAGGAAGTATTACAGCAAAGCTCAAATTTCCCAGGGCGGAAGAGAACACCATGGCTCCTGTGTAAACACCACCAGCTCCTTACCAGAAGAAGGGGAAGGAGCAACAGCCTGCAGACCCACCTCATTGAGAAGCTAGGGCTGTGTACGCGCTGTTAGATGTCAGTGATAATAATCACAAGAGCAGCTAACACAGAGGATTTATCCTGCCCCAGTCAGTATTTTAAGCACTTTATCCCTATACAAGTCTTTAAGGTTTGTACTATTTTCATCCCCACCTTACAGATGAGAAAACTGAGGCATAGGTAAGTGAAGTAACTTGCCCAGGACTACACAGCTAAGACAAAGATCCAGCGAAGCTCTCCTCCTCCACACCCCAGGGAAGAAAGTGGTTATACCTGGGTAGTGCATGAAACGCTTAAAAATAAGTTTCTACCGGTACATTCAGGTCAACTACCGTCTGGCAATTCCCACGTCCTCGCCCAGTGCGGGAAGCAAGCCTGGGACAGGCAGTAAATCCAGCAACCCGAGTCCTCTAGGAACAAGGCGCTCTGTTTCCGCAACATTCAAGCGCGTGATGGGGCCGCTGATAGTGCAAAAGCAGCTCTCCACCACCGCAAAGCCCATGGGAACCCGTTTCCACTCGGCTCAGTCGGCCTCAGAAAACGCTCACCCGTCTCTGGCTGCGAGGCACCCACGCTGACCTTAACCCCTTGGCGTCCGCCACCCTGGCGTCCTATCTCTGGATCTTCTGGCCGCTCGGTTTAAAAGATGCAGCCGCCGGGACAAGGGCCTCAGGCAGGCTGGGACGGTGCCCGCCGCCCGGAGCGCCCTGAGTCCGGCTCGCCCGCCGCGAAGTGACCCGCAGCCCTGTGAGCCGCCACCAGCAGCGCGCAACGCGACGCTGACCTGCGAGTGCCCCGCCAGGCTGGAGAAGAAAGTTGGGCGAAAGGGGCGCGTCCCAGGACAGGTGGCGCCTCCCTCCCAGGAAGTGGCTCCGGGAATTTTCGCTCAAGGGGCTACCCGGGGACCAGAGTCAGGGTCCCCAGCAGGAGCGACGACTGGTCGAGGTTGGCGGTGGCACTGCCCACTTGCACTGCGCCCAGTGCGCCCCCGTGCGCTGGGCGTACCCTAGACCAGGGAGCGCTCAGGTCCCGCCGGGGGCGCCGAGACCTGGCGGGGTAACTCGGAGGTGGGAGTGGCGGGGGTCCAGCTCCGGGACCGGGGCAAAGGAGGAACCAGCCCGGAAGAGGGTCTCACTCCGGGAGATCTAGCGGGGGTGTCCCACCAAGGGGGTGTCCAGCCGGGAAGGGTCTAGCCGGGGAGCGGGGTTCCCGGCTGCTGCCCGCACTCACCTTGGCCCCCGCGCTAGTTCGGCCTCTCCAGGCTGGAGAACTCACCGCGGAGGCGGCGGCGGATCCCCTGGGCGGGGCGGGGCCGGGGGCGGGGAGGCCGGGCCGGCCACGTGGGCGGGAGGCGGGCCGGGGACCCCCGCGGGCGCCGAAGCCGGTCGACGCAGGACTAGGACGTGGCCACGCCCGGCCACCGCTCGACACTCCAGCTCCCCATGCACGGCCTAGGTCTACGGGAAGGCTAGAAAGAGGAGAGCGGAGACCCCAGGACATCCCTCCCCCGCCGCCACCTAAATCAGACTGAGGCTGAGAGAATTAACCGAGTCGGAGGAGTAAACAGCCCTGCCTCTGGCTCCAGCTGTCCCGCCAGAGAACGCGCCGCGGAAACCCCGAGGGTGGGTCGAGGGCCGGGTACCCTAGTGGGAGGGGACTCTCGTGCGGGGGTGGTAGGGGCTGCCCTAGCGGTCCAGGGCCAGAGCCTGCACGCGGAGCTCCCACCCCCACCGCTGGGCAGATCTTGGGCGTGTCAGATCTTGCCCAAGCCTCACTTTCCTCGATGGTGGAGGTGAGAATGAGAACGAGCCTCGAGCTGCGTGAATCCGGGCGCACTGTAGGCTCTCAGGAATCGCCGGCTTGTAGGTGGACGCCGAGCCTGAAAGTGAGGAGCCTGGGTCGTGCATGCGGAAATCAACATGGGACTCTAAATAAAACGAGTTTCTGCAGGCATTCATTCATTCAACAGATGAACGCCTACGGTCCTCATCACCTCTTAAAATCAGAAATAAAGAATGCCCTAGACTGTCGTTACTGGGCTCTTAAGAAAATGTAAACCCCGATGCTAAAAATGAAAAATTCATCAGTTGCCCCCATGTGCCGGCAGTGCATTTTAGGTGCTTGATCGAAATTAACATTCACGACAGCCTGTGCGGGCCCGCTTCTCAAATGAAGAAATCGAAGCTTAGCGAGGTGAAGCCAGCCCCCAGAGCCAGAGGATCACAGTCTGGCCCCCTGTTTACAGAGGAAAGAGCATCAGCCCAAGGTACTAAGGCTCTTGCCCAGGTGCAGGAAGGGGGTGAGGGTTGAGAGCTCCCTGGGAGGCCACCTGTCGTGACAGCAGCAGCTGGGATGCAGATCTTCCAGATTTACTTCATAGCAACCTCTGCCTTCTGTTGCCAGTGCTCAGCCCCGCAGTGCTGGGTGGCCTCTTCCTGGCCTACAGCCCACCTTTTG